CATCTTGCCATTTCTTAATATCCAGAGCATAGTACATTAAAATAATAGAAATTGTACAATAGAAAACAACAGTAGAAATAGCTAGCATTTATTAAGCACTTACTGTATGCCAGTGTTTTGTGTACTTCACATATATTTCATTTATTTAATATTTACAACAAGGTTAAGGTGGGTACTAGAATAATCTTATTTTACAAAGTCCTTATTTGCAAACACTAGGCTAAAATGTAAGATGGCTTTTATGGGGTGGGAGAAGAGCACTCTGTGTTTAAGCACTCTTTGGTTCTCAGGATGTACTACTTCATGACAGGCCTTACCAATGTCATGAAAGAGGAAGAAAATAAGGCCTGTGACCTGTCACTTCGTGTATCTTAGCTCTGAAAAACCAAATTATTATTATTATTTTGTTTTATTTTGTTTTTTTAAAGAATTTTTATTTATTTGTCAGAGAGAGAGCGAGAGAGAGCAAGCACAAGCAGGGGGAGTGGCAGGCACAGGGAGAAGCAAGCTCCCAGCTGAACAAAGAGCCCAATGCAGGACTCAATCCCAGGGCCCTGGGATCATGACCTGAGCTGAAGGCAGATTAGTAACCCACTGAGCCACCCAGGCATCCCTGAAAAACCAAATTATATCAAAGAAAGAAATAGAACAGAGAAGGTTGGTAAATTTTTTTTAAAAGACTTTATTTATTTATTTGACAGAGAGAGACACAGCGAGAGAGGGAACACAAGCAGGGGGAGTGGGAGAGGGAGAAGCAGGCTTCCCGCTGAGCAGGGAGCCCGATGTGGGGCTCAATCCCAGGACCCTAGGACCATGACCTGAGCTGAAGGTAGATGCTTAATGACTGAGCCACCCAGGCACCCCTAGGATAAATAAAATTTTGACTGACCTGAAACTACATTAAAACTAGCTTTATCAGATTGGAATTTGTGACTGCATACAATGAAAGGTTGATACAAATTTATGGACCATTTGTACATAACCTTTTCTAAAAACTGGCTTAAGGAATTAGATTTTATGAGGTCTAAAGTGAATTTCTCAAGAAAATAAAATACTTGTCCTTGGAGCATTTAGTCTCTAAGCTCTCAGATTATTCAACATAAAATAAGAGGGTTGAATGAGGTTTTTGCTGAACTCCTTGTCAGCTCAAAAGCTATGAATCTAATGTTGTGTGATTGATAAAACAAGAGGTTTGGAGCCGGAAAACCTGGGTCCCCCTATTTACCAACTGAATCATGGTCACAGATCTGGCTCCTGGGAAACAGACTCTAAGACTTGGAGATTTGTGTGCAGATGGTTTATAGGGAAGAACTCTTGGGCACAACATGGGAGGGGTGAGGAACATAGCCCTAGACAGAGTGAACATTTGAGCTGTTGTACAATTCCAGTAAATGCCTCAGCCAATTCCAGGTGGAAACTCTGAGGCTAAGATGACCATTCAGAATAGTCCTGTCTGATAGCGGGCTTTTGGGCAATATGGAGTCTTAAGTGGGATTTACCCTTTCTTTAGAAATAACTAAAGAAAACAAACAACAATACATATGAAACAATGACTTTCAAGATACTGGGCATCAATCAATGAAAGATGATGGTGATCCCTAAGAGATGGGAAACAAACAAAGTGAGTCCTCTGATTGCCTCAGTTTATTGCCTTAAGAAAGTTTCCAGGACATGGCTCAGGGAGAGCGGAACCAAAGTGAAATATGGTGAACATTTTGAGTTCAGATGAGTTGAAAGTCCTAGGAGAATATGGTGGTTAGGGTTTACATGGCAAAATACTGGAGAGGAAAGTTACTGAGAAAGGGATCTCTGGATATCTGGATATGCAGCAGAGAACTGATTGGCACGTAAATATAAGAAAATAATCATCTGAGAGGAAGAGAGGGAATAGTGACTGGCACTAACTGAGGGCTGGGATTATTTCCTCCCTCCCACCCAGTCATGGGACATTGGGTGCAGTACTCAGAGGGTCTTTCTTCAGTGTGGGGGAAGCAACTGGCCCTAGACTAAATACTGAGTTGGTCTCCTTTTAAAAGCAAGATTTAAAACAATGAAGCTTTTCCCAGGTGATTTAACTGTCCCAGAACAAAGCTCAAGAATACTTACAGAAATACAAGAATATCCAGTACACAAAAAAATAAAATTTGCAATGTCTGGTGTCAAATAAAAGATTATCAGGAATTCAAAGAACTAGGAAATTAAGATCCATAACAAATAGAATAATCAACCAATCAAAACCAATGTGGAAGTGATATAGATATTGGAATTAACAAACAAAGGTATTAAAAAAGTTATCCTAACTGTATCTAAAATGTTAAAAAAATTGAGATAGAAAATACAAAAACACCCAAATCAAACTTCTATAGGTGAAAACTGTAATGTCTGAAATGAAACATGCCCTGGATAGGATTAACGGTAAATTAGATATTACTGAAGATAAGTTAACAAACTTGTAGACACATTTAAAGAAACTGTCAATAATGAAATACACAGAGCAAAAACAACTTATAAAAATGAAAGTAATATCAGGGAGCTGTGGGACAACTTCAAGTGCATGTCATTTCAGTCTCCAAAGGAGAAGAGGAGTGAAGGAAGGAAAATATTTGAAGATATAATGACTGATAATTTCTAAATTTAATGCAATCCAAGAAGCTCAACAAACCTCAAGAACAAGAAAAATAAGGAAAAACCACATGAAGGTACGTCATAATCACTTTGGTTAAAACCAATGATAAAGAGAAAAACGTTAGAAGCTTCAAGACATAAAAGACTCAGTACATACAGAGGCATAAAGATGAGAATGACAACAGATTTATAGCAGAAACAATGCTAGCTATAAGACAGTGGAACATCTTAAGAGAATTAAAAGAAAAAAACTGGCAACATAGGATTTGATATGCCGTGAAGACATTTCAAATAATAAGGCAAGATTTCAAAACCAAAAGAATCTAAGTAATGTTAGAGGAAGTCCTTTAGGCAGAAGGAAAATGAGACCAGATAGAAATCTGGATGCATACAGAAGAATGAGGAGCTGTGGAAATCAAACTACATGGGTAAATGTATGGGATTTTTTTTTTGGTATTATCTAAGCCTTTTAAAAAATAATTGACTGTTTAGGGGTGCCTGGGTGGCTCAGTCGGTTAAGTGTCTGCCTTCAGCTCAGGTCATGATCTCAGGGTCCTGGGATCAAGCCCTGCATCAGGCTCCCTGCTCAGCCAGGAGCCTGCTTCTCCCTCTCGCACTCCCCCTGCTTGTGTTCCCTCTCTAGCTGTCTCTCTCTGTGTGTCAAATAAATAAATAAAATCTTTAAAAAAAATAATTGACTGTTTAAAGCAAAAATAACAAAAATGTCCAGTAAGATCTATAACCTATGTAAAAGCAAAAAAATAACTGGACTATTTAGACTATTTACATATAATGAGATTACTGTGATAAGTTTAAGACTATCATCTTGCTTTTCAATTTGTCCCTTTTGCTTTTTTGTTCCTCTTTCCCCCCATTTTTGCCTTCTTTTGGACTCCTTGACACTGATGCAAATGAGGATGAGTCCTATAACTGCCCCAACTTCTTGGAAAGTTTTCAGGTCATGGGATAGACAATAGAACCCACCAGAGCCTTATGGCCTTCCTAAATTGAGGAGATAGAGCTGGGAGTCCAGAGAGGTGGCTGATGATCACAAAGAAGAGTACCAGAGAGGAGAGAGATGCACAGAAGAGAGAGCCCTAGAGATCTGTAGAGAATTGCACCCAAGTCCTTAGCTGGGAACCATCAGCTGCCAATATATCTGGTGGCCAGGGGAATAATATCTCAGCCTGAGTGATATACCACTGCATTTACTACAATGTCTTCAGGAAGTTACTTCTCTGAGTCTCAATTTTACCACCTAATAAATATTACCCATCTTCTAGGTTGTTGTAAGACCCAATGAGTTATCACAGCAAAATAGCTTAGAAAATGATAAAACGCTCATCATCATATTAATATGATGATGGTTTAAATTATATGACACACATTATTATGATGAATGTAACAGTTTCAAAATTGGGTGATCACTCCCAGGCATGACTAGTCAGTCTGTTTTTAGTCAGCTTTCATTGAAAACCCTTTGTGAACAGAACATATTAACAAGCCTGTAGAGAGAAAAGAAACTGCAGTTTCTTACCATAATGTTAGCCAAAAAATATACATAAAAAGAAACTTTAACCAAAATATGAATTGAATAATATTATTGTACTTGATTCTACATATATTGTTGAAGGGCTAGACACTGGCTTGATTGGTGTGATAGGAGGTGGGTGGATTTAATCATTACTGATTTCATAAAGTACTTGAGTTTTGAGCTGGATTTTGAAGGATTAGAAAGATTATCCACTAAGGAGATGAAGGCAGTGGGCCTACCAAAAGGAATGGATGAGTTCTCATGGAAGAGCAGAGCAGTTTGAGGTGGGATTGAGAAGTCCTGGACTCTGTCTCGAACTACCAAGCAGAAGACTCTGAAGCCTCATCTCCTCATTGGCAAACCAAGCTTAAGGGAGATATATAGCAGCTTGTCTGGCTCCAAAATTCCATGACTGAATTGTTTAAACATCTCTGGCGATTGTGAAAGCAGAGATTTTCTTGGCCCAAGTGAGTTGAAACTGTGACATCTTAGGAAATGGTAACACTCAAGATATTATGATGAGGGTGATGAGCCAGGATAGAGCCTGGACTCCACACAGAAGGAATTTAGGGCCATTTAAAGTTTAGGAGCAGGAAAATCATATGATTAATCACCTCTGAGGTTTGAAAACTCTGGAAAACATATAATAGGAGGCATTCACCAATCCCAAGGTAGAGTCTAGACAAATTATGGCTGAATGTCTTCAAAGTTTCATTCTTTCTATGTAGTTATGTTTCTAATCAACACTAGAATATGATTAACAGAATTTCCTATTCTGGGTTAGGTGGGCCACGGTTTAAATATCTCAGCACTTTTTCCAGAAGAAATCAGACTCACAAAATGAAAGTATCCAACCAACAGTTTATTATGTAATAATCACACATCTGAACTCCCTCTTGACCTTTCCCTACATTGCTCTTTCACTGCCTATCAACCTGGGGGCAGGAAGGAGGGTAGCAGTCACACAAGAACATTTAAGAAGGAAGCAATTCGTATGTGTTTATGTAGGTTAATGCTGCAAAGGAATACAAAACCAGGCACCAGACTCTGGAAAGAAAGAGACTTTTTCCAATCTCATTTGCCCCCGCGGCGCTGCCTGAAATAGCGATTGTAGGCAGCGTTGTATCCATAAACCATGGCATAGCGTTCACAAAGCTTGAAGTCATCACAGGCTTCCCGACTGATCTCATAGGCAGGCTTGATGCTTTCTCTGATCCTAGAAAGTGGTGGGGGGATGGAAAAAGGCCCCAAATGAGAAGCATAAATAGAGTAGGGAAAAAAAAAAAAGAGGAAAAGGGGAAAAAAGAAAGACTAAGAAAACATAGGAGAGAGATCCCATTCATCCCCCAATATTAGAGGTACTTAACAGGGGGAAAGGTGGAATGGGGACTTTTTGTTTTACGAAAATAGAAATTTTCTTTCTGTCCTCCTTTCCCTTCTCCCTCCCCTCTGCTTTCTGGGTCTTTCACAAGCTAGTCTTCTTGAAATTCAGTTGTTTTCTCTATACTGTTTTTTAAATTCTATGATTTGGGGATACAATTAGAAAAAATACATATGATTAAAAAAAAACTTGTTTCTCATTCCATTCAGATCAGGGATGCTACTTGAGAAAAATTACCCCCCCTCATCAAGTTTTGTTACCCACCTCTCTTGGGTTTTAGCTCTCCATCCCCACTGTGGGGATATAAAAGTATTAGCGTTTCTCCTGTTAATGAAGGGATCTTAAAAGAAAAAAGAAAAAATTGCAGTTTTAGGAAAGCAGTAGTTGGAGATATTTCCATGAATATTCCCTGACATAAGTATATTTGAAAACTCATTAACTCATGCATTTCACGTAACTAGAGATCTTACAAAAGTCAGAGAGAAAGATAAAAGCAGGTTTCCTAAACTGCCCGATCAAAAGAAATCAGTATATGTTTTTTAGAGATTTGTTACATAGGCCCCAGTTATTTTTGTTTATTTCGCCTATGGGCAATCGCTTTGCCTTTCTCAATTTGGTATTCCTGGTCAGTGTGTGTTTAATCCCTGTGAGGAGAAATTCTCTCTGTTCTGAGGACTTGTAAAGCATAACTTGAGATTACCAGAAATAGACTGTGTAAATATTATGAAGATAATGAACAAATTGAAAATGAGAGTGGTATGTTACTTCTTCCTATACTCAGTCTTTGTAAGTCCAGATACTCAGTAGGATTTCACACGCTGACGACCGTGGTTTCCCAGCTGACTAGGACTCTAATCCCCTACTTTGCCATTTGTCATTACTCCTTGTTTTCCATCTGTGTGGTTGATGTGCGCCAGCTTAAAATTTCCAAATGCCTCCAACTCTGTTGAATGCAGCTTCAAGGCCATATTACACTATTTCAAGCTTAAACAATTGCTCATCTGGAGATTTTTATAGTCATTAGATTTTTAAATTTACTTTAGTTTTCCAAAAGAGGCCCCCTCTTTCCCTTCCCTATTTGACCTCCATATATTACCATTTTGTCTATTCAAGAATAGGAAGAGAGATTCTTTAAAGCATGAGATTTAAATAAGGAAGTCAAATGTTCACTTACTAATTTCATAGGATTCCATGCTTTCATGAGATTCTGGAATAAAAAAAAGATTCATTTGAGTGTTATTTATCACACATGGCAACGGTCTAAATTTAGGGAAGGAAGGAGAGAAAAGAGTCAAAAAGATGTGAAGAATATAGTGAGCAGTGTGATTATTACAAATTTCAGGCATTTAGGATTTATGAGTTGTTTCTCTAGCTCTCTCCTTGGTGTAGAGATCTTTACACTTTAGTTTTGTCTGATGTTGAAGGAACCAGTGGCTATGGTCTTGGCTAAAAGTTCCCAAGGGCTATGAGGTCTTCAGGCTAGTGAAATAAGATAATTTAAGTGCTACACACAGATTTCCAGAGAGGCTTCTTCTCTGATTCATTTGAGACCTGTCCAAGAGCAGGGTTGAGAAAGGGACAGAGGGATCCAAAAAATAGCCCAGGTCCTCCAGGCAGTGTGGGGAGATGGTCAGCTGGGCTCTACCAAGATCGGTTTCTAAGAGGTTCCTAAAGGCTCTTAGGAGCCTGTATGAACTTGGCAGCCACAGAAACCACTGGCTCCAGCTGACAACTCCCACTGGGCTGAAGCCAGTTCAGAGGAAAAACTGAGCTGATGCCAAAGCAAAAGTTTTCTTCTACCACTGTCCTGTGCACAGTAGGTAAATCTGGCAATAAGAGGTTTATATTTGTAAGCAAGTGATTTTATTTCAAAAATTAAAAAGGAGATGAAGACACCAAATCCTCTGATACAGAAACCATGTGAATAATTTCAAGAGTCAGAAGAAAAGTACTAATGGTTGTTAATACAATTGAGGTTAAAGTCATCTAAATAGCCAGATAATTGAAGCGTAAGATGGATCGAAACTAATCTTCAGATTTTCTTTCATAAGCTTTGAACAGACACAGATATAGTTAACAACATAGAGAAATCAGGTGGAATTTATCTTTTGACAATCGAAATTATACAATCTTTTTTCTCTGAGATTCTTTAAATGCGAAACTCTATTTTTAAATTAATTCACTGAACAAATGTAGGAAGTTCATGAGATTGTCCTGTCCCTGCAGAGGGCCTAAACTTAACACTTCATGTGAAAACTGATTTTCTTAAAGGTGAGTGATTTCACTAATACCTTTAACCAAACTGTTACAGAGTATAAATAAACATCCCCAAAAATGGGAAGTTGGGGGGCTGGGAATTTGATATCTTCTTTCTGAAACAGCAAAGTTTCTAGGTGTGTAGTGACTTACCATACACAGGAGCTGCTTGTTAGGTTGCCTACAGAAATCTGGATATTTTGGATGTAAAGAAGACTTGATGGGACAAATCACTGTCCACGGGGCTTGGGAAATGTTAAATTGATGATACTTTAAGATTCTATTAGAGAGAGGGGGGAGAAGAGGAGGAGGGAGGGAAAAAAATCAAAATAAACTGAAATCAGAGGCAGAAGAGAAAACCTAGAAAAGTGGCAGGAGAAAGGTTTCTCACCATAGCACAGAGCTGCCATGGCCCAGGCAGCCAGAAGGCAGGGAAGGAGCAGGCTCTTCATGGTCTCTCCGTGTCCTGTGGGTTGGTCTCACTGGCTTTTGCGGCAGGCAGCGGAGGGGAGAGAGGCTCCTGCAGGCTGTTGGTGAAAGGCTGTGGAGGTTTTATAAGAACGAGAGCAGCTGAAAGGGGAGGAAGCAGTGGGAGGGGGCCAGAGAAGGTGGAGACTGGTTGGCCCTAAACTAGCACTGGGACTTTTCCCAAATGCTCATTCCTTCCAGATATTATCTACTCTGGGTAGGCAGTTTTCCCTCACTTCTGGATCAGATGGTGCTATAGCAGGATGGTGCCCTGCTACAGACGTGGCCGCCCTAGGTTTAGGGCCAGATCCGGGCAAAAGTCCACAGAAAAGGGAGTTGCCACAAACACGTGTTTGCCTTTCTAATTCCTTCTCCGATCCACTCTCCTGGCCCTGACTACAGGTCTGGTGTGCAGACAGAGCTGAAGTGTTCTGCTTGCTCCCCTGATGGATGGATGAGCAAAGGACTTCGCTTCATAAACTGGTTCTAATGTAGACTTATTTTCCCAGTAGGGTTGCACTAACAGTCATGGACCAATTGCATATGTGCCCAGTGATATGCAACTTTTGCGTTTTTTCCAAGTGCTCAGCAGGGCAGAGATGCCCAGTGATGCCCTGAGTTCTGTTTCCTCAATTGGCTCCATCGTAACTTGCCCATCCAGTTTTGCGTCTTGAGTCCAATCCTGTGCCCCAAGGCCCTCTTAGGCTGGATATCACTGATTTAAAGTGCAGCAAAAATAAAAGAGTAGCCATCTCTCATTTTCTGAAGGCATTGTCCTGATAATGAGCTAATCCAATATGTTCTTAGTGAGCGACGGATGAGAGGCAAGGAAGTGTGCTAGGTGCTGTGGGGAGATCTAGAGACAAACAAGACACGTCCCTAAGGGGGTAAGTAATAGATACTTACTATATTCATTTTGTGCTTTAGCTGCCATGTGTCCTCAAACATAGATTTTTCACAAACACACGCTTCCATTATACCATTATACCCTCAGTAGCAGAAGTGCTGTTTTTTTTCTTGCAGGAGGAGGATTGTAATTTGGTGCCTCTGGTTATCTTGTAGACAGAGCTTTTTTTTTTCTTCTTCTTCTTCTTTTTTTTCTTTTCTTCTTCTTCTTGGACAATCAGAAAACCTTTTCTATCAAGATGTGTCTCGGCTGTCTGGTACCCCAGAATCCTCTTGGCAGACAGAAAGGTCTGAGTCACAGAGCAGCAGACTGTAGATGAGCTAAAGCTGCAGGACTGCTCACTTGGCTGGAACAGCAAAAGGGTTGGCTTGGGAGTAGGTGGGTACAGTTTTCAATAATAATTTATTTCAAGGAGCAGTGATGGACAACTAGGTGAAACCACATGCCTCATTCTTTTTGTCTTTTTGGGATGCACTTTCCCTCCCAGCCTCCACCTTCTGAAGAGCTTTTATAAATACTAAAGGATTCCCTATTAAAGGAAATAGTTCGCAATCCTTGTAATCGGAAGGATTGGTGAGTTGCGAAGGACCAATAAATGTCAGGGTTTCCCTCCAGATTTTGTCATATTGAGAGATATATTCTTCTTGATAAAATCCTAAAGACGACCTCAAAAAGAAGACAATGTATGTTCATCTCTGATAAATTCATCCATTGTGATTTCTGGTCACAAGATTGGTGGTTGTCTTCTTCTTTAAATCACAAACTTGCTCTCAGGATTGGCCTCAGTGCCCTTTTTCCAAGATAAATCATCCAAATCATTATATTTGCAAAAGCCAGTTTACTACATTGCATTTACTACATTTACTACATTGCTTGTTTTGGGAAAACAAACTAGCTGTGGCTTGTTCATGTAGCATTTTATATGTACTCAACTCAGTTACTAACCCCCAATTTATATGAAATGAAGCAAGTTTGGTTTCAGTGTTTCATCCCTAAAATGAGTAGGATACTCCACCTCTCCCACCCTATCTCTGGAATTAGAGAAGTCTCTTCCAGCTACAAACATGTGCTTTGTGATGTACGTTAACTTGGTCTTTTCTGGCCAGATTCCGCGTGTCTCCTCCATCCCAAGTTCAAGTGAAAGCTGTGCTCTGTCTGCCTTCTGACATTGCAATTGTTTATTCTTATACTCTCTGAACCCAAGTGTCAAAATCTTACACTTCTCTTTCCAACATAAGCTCCACCTTTCTTCACGAGTTGTTTTCATCACTGCTTCCACTGGCTTCCCTAAACTTTTTTTTTTAAGATTTTATTTATTTGACACAGAGAGAGAGAGAGAGCACAAGCAGGGGGGTAGGGACAGAGGGAGAGGGAGAAGCAGACTCCCCGCCGAGCAGGGAGCCCGATGCCGGACTGGATCCCAGGACCCTGGGATCATGACCTGTACCAAAGGCAGATGCTTAACTGACTGAGCCACCCAGGCGCCCCTTTTAAGCATGTTTCCTTATCATCTTGCTTTTTCCAAGGCTAACACTTTCTGTTGGAAACTGTCTCCCTCTCACCAGTCACTCATCTTCCCTTTCCCGTTTTCCATTTATTTATGGGTCCTCCTATGCTAAATACCATTTTTATATAATTTATAGCAATTAAATAACATGTGTGAAAACTCAGAGCTCTTCTTTTTCTCTTCTCCCACCCATCACTCCCTGTCTCAAAGATAATTTTGCATGTGCCGACTCCAGTCATGTGTTTTTATGAGGAGGATCAGACTAACTCGATGGGGGCTTTGTATTGGAAAGGGTAGAGATTGACTTGTCAGAAAAAAGAGAGAGAGAGAAAAAAAAACGGAGGTAGAAAGAGGTGGAAAGAGAGAAATGAAGAGGCCTTATAGATTTGGTTTGCTGGATGGGAGAGGTTTGGGTAGAGACTGAGTTGTAGAGAGAAAAGCTTTGAGGCTGCTGTAAGATGTGAGACGCTGAAAATGAGACAGGGGAAAAGACAAGTAAGAGCTGTTTTGGTTATGAATAGGCTTGTTTGAGATTGTAAAAGATTGAGAATTGCTGGAAAATATTAAAATTGTTTTTAATTAATGTTGGCCGGTAGGTTTTTTTTTTGAGAGAGAGTGTGTGCATGTGCTTGTGTGAGAGCTGACTGAGCCACCCAGGTGCCCCTAATTTGTATTTTCTTAATTGAACTACCTTGTAAAGACTAGATCACATGAAATTCCAATTTATATTTGGATTTTAGATAATTATGAAAGATATTTGTATAGATATTTCCGCCTAGCTAAAGAGGAATATTCTTTAGTGGAGAGACTATTTGCAGATACTCCCAGGAGTGACGACAAAGGAATTGGAGAGACAGTGACATGATTGGCAGTGCTTTCAGACTGTACAGGAATCTCGGCATGGGAGATTGGAGCATGGTATAACCCAGGCAACAGAATACAGAACCATACGGGATCTCCTCTTCCACCTGCCCTTAGGAGGGAAAGAGAAGCATGAGCATGCCCTCCAGGGCCAGAAATAGCCTCATATTTTAGTCATTCTTTCATCCATCCAGCCCTCCATCCCATCATCAGTCCATTTAACAAATGTATCGAACATCTTCTCTGTGACAACTCTAAACTGGAAATAGAATGGAGAAAAATATACAGATAGGGACCCTACTCTCAGGAATCAAGCGTGATCTTAGATCATAAATTTAATTAGTGTTTCTTCTTTAAAAATTTGTTTAGGCAGCCCACTGGCCCTAGAGAAGTCTAAGTGA